CCCCCCCCCCCATGTGGGCTGAGTTCTGTAAGCCAATATTTGCATTAAATTCACCAAAGAACATATTTTAAAATGACTGTTCTTAATAGCACCTGAAATGGACCCTGTTGCTGTCATGTGTATTCATTCTAAACTTGGCTAAGAATAATAGGAACAAAATCATATGCCTCCAGGGCTCCAAAAGGCTTTGAATCCCTTCTAAGAGCCTTTGAGTCTCCTTTTAAAGTATATTATCTTTCTTTTTCTAAATTAAATTATTCCTTAAGAAAATCTGTATTTTCTCCCACTGGTTATATAAATTACCCATCTGTCAGAAACCTTGGTCACCTGAAGTGGTGGAATGATGCATTATCATTGTGTTCCCTAAAAATATCCCATAGCTGTTGGCCTTTAGTAAACAAATACTGACTCCTACAAAGTGGATTGAAGGCTTCAGTAAAACATTATCACTCTATCAAGAAAGGAAAAGATGGCTAAGTGGATAGGGCACAGAACAGGGTATCACAGGAGGTAGTTTCTATATACCTGGCTCCTCTGCTGGCTTACTGGTTAACCTCTAAGTGTATTCTAGGGTATTTATTTTAGGGAGAAGAGAAGACTAATGGAGGATTTGACAATAGTCTTCAGATACCTGAAGGGTGTTTATAAAGAGGATGGAGACAGGACTAGGAGCAATGAACTCAAACAGCAGCAGAGGAAATTTAGGTTGGAGATTAGAAGGAATTTTCTGACTATGAAGGTGATCAGACATTGGAACAGGCTACCTAGGGAAGCTGGGGAATCTTCTCTGGAAAATTTCAAGAGCAGTTTGGACAGACACTTGGCTAGGATGGTTTAGTCAGGGATGATCCTGCTTTGAGCTGGGGTGTTCTAGACTTAGTGAGGTTCCTGAGGCCAGCCAAGAACTCCCAGGAGAAGTCATTGGGCATGTTTGTATGTTCATTAATGCACCTTAAGTACTGCGTTTTTAGTTTAGTACTTAATAACGTACTAACTAAACGCGCACTAACAAGACTTATTGCACAGTAGCGCTGGCACACGGGTTTTTTTGTGATGCTTACTGTACATTAGCCTAATAACATTGTGCAGTAGCCTATTAGCATGGTTTTTAACTTTCATGCTACTGCGCAGTGTTATTAGGCTAATGTGCAGTAAGCGTTTCCTGTAGATGTGCCTGTTAACTGTCTTCCCTGCTCTCCTCTCCTCTGAGAAGACCTTTGGGAAATGCTGGAAGACTGGAAAATTCACTATTGTGCCCCTCCCCCTTCCCTGGGGAGCACCACTGCTGCTGTGATTGTGATGCACTCTGGGGCAGGAGAGGCTCCACAGTTAGGGAGCTTTTTGTCTCTATGGTACTGAAGCACCTAGAATTTGAAGCACCCCAAATTAGCGCACATCAGACCTGGCCTGAATGCTTCAGAATCCTTAACCATGTGCGACTGCCTTTGGGGAACTAAGTAAGGCCCGCTAGACTGTTATCTGAAGACTCCGAGGTTGGCTACTTATCTTTCAGGAAAAATAAAACCCACACAAACACATTACACTACATGTTCCAGCCCTCTGTCACTAGATTACCCAACCTTATGGGATACTGAAGTCCCCAAGGCCAGCCAAGAACCTATAATTCCCATCGTGAAATCACACTTTTCCTCGTTGCTCATCTACCTGACATGGAGAAGTAAAATGGGATACTAATTATGGCTGATTAGATTTGTTTTCAGATCATCCAGATTAATGATGTCCAGAGTCCACTTTTAATGTCATTATGCTGTATCAAAGTATTCTTTAAAAAAAAAAAAAAACACACAAGAAAAAAAAAACTAAAACAACTAAATAAAACCCTGTATTGCTTATTGAAGTGACGTGATAATCCTGTCCATAGATAGCAAATAGCATTATGTGTGGTTATATTACTTGTATACCTCTGGCTGCTTTGAATGTGCAAAAGTTCTAACTTCCTTTCACCCTTTCATCTTGCAGGCTATTTCCTGCTTGTGTGAAGATAAATATAAGGACTTCAGGAAATCTGCCAAGAAACGGTCAGTCAGTGCTGACAATCTGACTGTGGTTAGATGGTCCCCTGCGATCATCTCCTAACAGCGGAGCCAGGATATTCCTACAGAAGTACTGTTTCTTCCATCCAGTTTTGTGGGGGGGTGGGTTAGGGAAAAAACAAGACTTTTGATTTTTTTTATTTTTAGATCTGTCAAGCTGCCTTTACAGTGCCTCCCCATTGTGTAGCACACAAGAATAAAATATTGAGTGGAAGGATACGAGAAAGAAGAAATTTATTTTTTGTCACTGTCACTAACAGCTTTACATTTTTGTGAGGAAACAGTGAATTGAATGCTTGGAAGAGGAAACAGAAAAAATGGAGTAGAGGCCGAAAGAAATTTGAGGTCGGTGCCACTTTTTTTTATTTGCTGTGCTCTTCAACAGAAACAACGGCATGAAAATAAGCCACGTGATCAGTTTGACAGCGCACTAGAGGATTGGGGCTGGGAAGGGTTCAATTTAAATTTTTCTCCTTAGTATCTTTCTTATTCCTCTGTTCTGCTTCCCTGGGTTACTTTTCTGCCTTTCCTTCTGCGCAGCAGCAAATACAAAGTTTGTATCTACGGTAGCACAACCCTCTGAATAAATAGTATCAGTTGGTTTTTTTTCACTGCACTTTTCTCCATAAGCTGTGTGATTAGCATTATTCTTCATAATTATTATGCATATGTTATGTTCCCCATATGCCTTTTATTGTACTTTAAAAAAAAATAACTTGACCACAGTGCTGAACCAAAAGTGTATACAAGGATCAGATGATCGTTCATAATGTCATGATGTATTTTATTTATAGTATATGTGGGTGTGTGCGCCTTCCTGAGTTCTTGGAATCATTTATTTTTCTTTGATATAAAGATACAGTGGTGAAAGTGTTCAGATGATGAGACTTGGGCCAAATTGCTAAAATTTGCATCAGTCCACGTGTGGTCCATTCTTCAGATTTCATAGTATTAGATGTTTAACAGATTTCGGTGTGAAGGAAATTTTTTTGTATGGCCTGACTCGTTCATTCCTTCACCTCCAAGTCCATTGTTGCAAGCAATATCCTCAATTTTTATATGTTTACTTTAAATCAAGTTAGTCTGTTTGTATAAAAAAAAAAAAAACTTTAAAAAAAAAAAAAAAAGCTTTGTTCCAGTGAAAAAGGTCCATGGAAAAGCAGAATGTTAATCTTATCAAGGTATTTATCACAGTAGATCAGATTTTAAGAGTATAAAATAAACCCTTGCATTTTTCAGTGTAGGTGCTTATAAAATTTAAACAAAATTTAAACTGTGAACACCATTTTCTGCTTTATTGATTATTATACTTTTCTGTTTGTTGTTATTAGTTTCTACTTCTTACTATGCCAGTTACCCTCATGAGATACACAAGAACCTTTTATAACAAATATTGTATTTGTGTAAAAACATTTGCTTTATAATGCTTGAGAGTGTCAGATTTTATAAAGTTTTTTGCACAATTTAGAAAGAAGAAAAATCTGAGTTTTCTGAATTCCTTTCTTTGCAAGTATCATTGAAATGAAGGGCAGCAGACTTCTCATGTTTGACCTGATTTTATGCACTACTACTTTAAACCATAAAGATTCCATATCAGATTTTAATAAGTCCTACAGGCTTATAGCAGACCTTTGGGCCCATAAACGCACTTTGTTTCCAGTGCAGTGCTGATAAGATGCCTTGAAAATAGAGAGGCACTGAAAAGATTGAAATACTAATACCAAACAGTTTTCTATTAATTTTCTAATGTGACTTGTGTATGAGACATGAAGGTTTTGTCTGTAAATTGTCCTGATGTCTTTCAGGCCTTTAAAATAATCTAATTCTCATCCTTCATTGATGTGCCAATGCATCAGAACTGTGAGTACCCGTTAGCTTTTACCTTGAATATGGAATGTAAGAACGAAACGGAAGCAAACAAAAAAGAAATCATTTAAAATGCCTTGGCAAATAAGTAAAAAAAAGAACATTTTCATAGCATTTGAAATCTATCCCTTCCAAGCATAAATTTAGGTTTCACCAATATTTAAGATGTTTTGATTTTTCAACACTTTGCAGAACTATTTTCAGTTAACTTCTTAGCAGGAATATTGGTTTAATCCATTTTTTTGAGTGATAGAGAGATGAGCTTTGAATTATGTAAAGATCTCAGTACATCTTCTATAATTTTTGTGGAGTTTATTAAACTACTTTAAAGATTGTATAGTCTATTTATTGTATGTATGTACATACAGTCTGAAACTTAAAAAAAAGAAAAAAAAGTGGATTCCGTAAAACCTGGCTCAGTCTTGTTTAGACTATTGAATATCGTTTTAGCCTTGTGCACTGGACTCTACCTCTGTATAGGAGAATTTTTTCCATATTCTTAATTAGTACTGATTCTGTGATTAACTTGGTTATGTTTCTTGCACTAAGAATTAAAAAAAACAAAATCTGCTGTAAGTGTGGATTTTTTTTTCTTTAGTTTCAGTTTTGTAGTATGGATCACTTATACCTAGAAGGACATTTCTTTCCCTCATGGGTATAGAATTCTTCTTTCTGCTCCGGTCTGTTCTAAATTTGCCAAAAAATACAGTACCTATGAATTAATCTTAGTGAGTGTAATTTGTTTGCAAAGGATTAATACCATGTAATTAAAGGTTGATTATTTAGGATTATTCTGTGTGCTAGTATAGTTTTTGAAGTGGCATGGGATGGAGAATCATCATGAGGGGAAAACCTTTGCGTTAAAACAAGAGACCAAACAGGATTTTATATGGTT